CCATTTTAGGGATCCACCTCCCTGGGTGCCTCCATGCCATGGATCCAATTCCCTGGGAATTCCAGCCCATGGATCCACTTCCATCAGAGCTCCATTCCATGGATCCACTTCCCTGGCAGCTCCCACTCCATGGATCCACTTCCATCCATCCCATGGATCCACTTCTATCAGAGCTCCCATCCCATGGATCCACTTCCCTGGGAGTTCCCATTCCATGGATTCACTTCCCTGGGAGCTCTCATCCAATGGATCCACTTCCCTGGGAATTCCATCTCATGGATCGACTTCCCTGGAAGCCTCCATTCCCATGGATCACTTCCATCAGAACTCCATCCCATGGATCCACTTCCCTGGCAGCTCCCACTCCATGGATCCACTTCCATTCATCCCATGGATCCACTTCTATCAGAGCTCCCATCCCATGGATTCACTTCTCTCTATGCCACGGATCCACATCCCTGGAAACCTCCATCCCCATGGATCCATCTCCCAGGGAGTTCCCATCCCATGGAACCACTTCCCTCCATCCCATGGATCCACTTCCCTGGGAGTTCTCATCCAATGGATCCACTTCCCTCCATCCCATGGATCTATATCCCTGGGAGTTCTCATCCCATGGATCCACTTCCCTGGGAGATCCCATTCCAGGGATCCACCTCCCTGGGTGCCTCCATGCCATGGATCCAATTCCCTGGGAATTCCAGCCCATGGATCCACTTCCATCAGAGCTCCCATTCCATGGATCCACTTCCCTGGGTGCCTCCATCCCCATGGATCCACTTCCATCACAGGTCCCATCCCATGGATCCACTTCTCTCCATGCCACAGATCCACTTCCCTGGAAACCTCCATCCCCATGGATCCACTTCCCTGGGAGATCCCATCCCATGGATCCACTTCCATCAGAACTCCATCCCATGGATCCACTTCTATCAGAGCTCCCATCCCATGGATTCACTTCCCTGGGAGTTCCCATCCCATGGAGATCCCATTCCAGGGATCCATCTCTCTGGGTGCCTCCATGCCATGGATCCAATTCCCTGGGAATTCCAGACCATGGATCCACTTCCATCAGAGCTCCCATTCCATGGATCCACTTCCCTGGCAGCTCCCACTCCATGGATCCACTTCCATCCATCCCATGGATCCACTTCTATCAGAGCTCCCATTCCATGGATCCACTTCCCTGGGAGTTCCCATCCCATGGATCCACTTCCCTCCATCCAATGGATCCACTTCCCTGGGTGCCTCCATCCTCATGGATCTATATCCCTGGGAGATCCCATCCCATGGATCCACTTCTGTGGGAGATTCCATTTTAGGGATCCACCTCCCTGGGTGCCTCCATGCCATGGATCCAATTCCCTGGGAATTCCAGCCCATGGATCCACTTCCATCAGAGCTCCAT